AGTAAGCCCCAGTTCTGCCCAACTACCAGATTTATTTCCATGGGGTTTTGAGGTCTGCGGTCGTATCAACCCTCCTCGTTTGGAGGATAATAGGCCCCGTACAGTAACCCTCAGCAGCAGCAAGGACTCTTCAAATGTGATTGACCGTGCTGAAGCAGACAGTGCTGGGCTTTACTGCTTCCACCTGAAGCCAGGGACATATTATGCTAGTGTACAGATGTCGCAGGAAGAAAAGGCAAAGGGATTACAGTAGGTTCTTCCGCTAAAATGTACTTTGGCATATTTCTGAAATACCCATTATTACTGTTACCATTCATTCATGAGTTGCCTGTTTTTTCATTCCCCAGATATGCCCCATTGGTTCGTGAAGTGAAAGTAGTGAATCAGCCAGTTAATGTAGGGAATGACTTCTCACAATTGAAAGCACGAGTTCATGGGAAGGTTTCCTGCCTTCAACGTTGTTCAGATATCAGCATTCGACTCTTGCCGCTTTCTCCTGGTGTTGAAGAAGTTACCATCAGGTTAAAAGGTTAATATCTATCTGTCTTAAAATATTTTTCATTCCTAAGTTCTGCAAATCAGTCAAACAACTGAGGTTGCAGCACTATGCTATACTGTAGCAAGATAATTTTGTGAAATGTTGTTTGGTTTACTATTGGCAAAATTTCGAAGAAATTTTAAGAGAGAATAGATTTTTTTGCCTATGGTAGAAAATGCAGTGGTTGTGTTGCCTAAGCCCTATGCTGGAATGCATTCAAATTGATATGTAATCAGTTTACCAGAGTTTATTGTCACACTCAAAAATTATTTATAATCTCAAAATTGAACCACACTTAATGCTAAATTTTAAGTTCCATTTTAGACTAAAATGATATTGATTGTTGATGTAATTATTTTCTATTTTCAGATGACAATACATATGAAATAAATGAAGTCCTGCTAGGTAACTATCACGTTAAGGTCATCCGAGATGACTGGTGCTGGGGAGCAAGTCAATATGAAATCGAAGTTTCAACTGCTGAAGTGGCTGTTCCTGTGTTCAAACATGTTGGATATGCTACCATTGTGCAAACATCACATAACGCCTCTGTATGTTTGTTGGCAGGAAAATGTACCTATCTAAGTATGATTTACCTAATGCCCTTCAAACCTGGCTCATTGAGGTGTCTGCCTTTTCCAGATTAATTATGAACTAGTCACAGAAACTCCTAATCAGATCAAGAAGACTTTACCTATGCGGAAGGGAATATCCCGGTTGTGTGTACCGAGTGCTGGCACTTATCGAATTCAAGCTGTAGGTTGCCACAAGTTTGCAGAACCATCTACAGTTATGTGGAATACCAAAGACCCTGCCAAAGCTATTGCATTTACTGCCATTGGACACACTATCACTGGTTTTGTTGAATCTATTAAACAAGTTGATGATTTGATAGTCCGCATTGAAAAAGACAATGGCTCTCTGGTTGAACTGTAATTATTCCTTCCATGGCTTGAGGTATGCATGTAGGATTTAACAAAATTTCTAAAATATGTATGTATTTAAACCACAGACAGGGACCTCTGAAGCCCAAGCAAAGTGATGGGAAGTGGCAGTATGAGATTTCTATCATGGCCCTTGAGAATGAGGATTACAAGATCATTCCCCAGTCAGCTGTAATGCTTTTCAAACCAGAGGAGATTACAATGACCCGCTATTTGGAATGCGCCCAAGGTGTGTTCAGTATAGAAGCATTTTTAGGACAGATCATTTCTGGAGAGGTAATGTTTTTTATTTTTCCAAATATTTTTAGAATTGACATAATGTATAAGTCCTCTACTCTAAACTGGGTTTTAACTACTTACAGATTACCCCAGCCTTGGGTGGTGTTGCGATTACTGTCATGGAGGATCAGTCATTGGAAGATCCAAAGATAATTGCTCAGACTGAGACAGACTCTAAAGGCCAGTATCGTATTGGACCACTACAACCCGGTGTTAAATACAGGTAATGTGCCTTTTTGAACCGTGTTACCCATCATTGATCAATATATTTCTGATTTGTGTTTCTATTATTTCAGTGTGCTAGCTGAAAAGGAAGGCTATGTAATGACTGGACCTGATGCAAGAAACAAAATTACTGCACGTAAACTGGCTGAAATTGCTGCAGTTGTGACTGATAGAGCTGATGGTGCGCCCTTGCAGGGCGTTCTGCTGTCTGTATCTGGGGGTGCTTACAGACGCAACAGTCTCACGGGTCCAGACGGGCAGCTGTCCTTCAAATCGCTTAGCCCTGGGGAGTATTACCTCAGGCCCCTGCTCAAAGAGTACCGCTTTGAACCGCCTGCCCTTCAGTTTGAAGTCAAGGAGGGTGATACAGTCAATGTGAAGCTTGAGTAAATACCTGTTCTCCATGTGCTTGTGTTTTCCCAATTATGAAAACAAATATTACATTGTAATAATGATTATTGTTACAGGGGAGACAGAGTTGCCTGGAGCGCTTATGGGACAGTGACGTCCCTGAGCAAGGAACCTGAGGCAGGAGTTTTGGTTGAGGCTGTCGGAGTCGACCGTGAGAGGCACAATTGTGCTCAGCTGCAGGAAGAGGCTGTCACAGAAATAACTGGACAGTTCCGCATCAAAGGACTTCAACCCCAGGTAATGTAGTGTTTCAGCTCTTGAAATCTCAATCACTCTTGGAATAAATATCTTTATGATTCACACCTGTCATTTCTGTTTGATTTAATTTGCAGTGCAATTACATTGTACGGGTAAAGCCTACAGCAGAGGCCAACAAACACATATATCGTGCCACCCCTGACAGCATCCCATTACAGGTTTGTGATCACATTTAGAATTCGCACTGCCAATCATGTTGGGTTGAAATTCACCCCTGGCTATCCCGCCGTTGTTCACAGGCCGTGGAGAGTGATGTCAAGAACCTGAGGCTGATCGCGTTTAGGCCCATCGCCAAGACGGAGGTGGTGGCTGTGGTGCGGTCCGGGGTCGACACGGTGGAGCAGCTGCGCAGCGTCAAGCTCCGCCTGTGCCGCGAGGAGACGCCAGACCACCCCATTCACGTGGTGCGCCTAGACAGTATCGTGGGCACTCAGGGAGGCAGAGTCCACGAGTACTACCCGGCCGGAGTCATGGTGCATTTCCCGCTCATTCCATCAGACGGTCGTGGCTACGTTCTGCAGCTCGAGTCGTCGCTGTCCCCCTCGGCTTACGATTACTCCAACCAGGCCGTTCACTTCCGGACCAACGTCTCGTTCCACTACGTGCCCTTCTCTTTCGAGCCCATCCCACGCTTTGTCGACCAAGACATGAACCAGGGCTCGATCTTCCTCCTGCCACTTGTCCTGATCGCTCTCTTCTCGTACTTTGGGAGGGACCACATAGCCCCCAGCTTGAAGCGTCTGTCTCAGGCTGGGCTCCTGAGGAGGCTGGCTGGTGAAGGCCCGGTGGTGAGCGAGCGACCGAACTCTCGCGAGAAAACGGCGTCAAGAGACAATAAGAGCCCGCGCGAACAAGACAATTCCCCCGACAGCTCTGATGGAGCGACAGTTGAACAAATCGGAAAAAAGAAGAAACCAAGGAGGACGTAGTGTGTCTTCATTAGTCGATTCACCGTCAAATACAACAGATCTCAGTTTCTTTTCCCTTCAACGAAGTATCGCTTCTATATTCCTTTCAATGAAAACAATTTCCATGTAAATAATTGACTGATTTGTGTTCCCTAGAGTCTGTAATGTATCATTCAATGTCGTGAAGTTTTACTATGTAAAACTAAGTATAATTACATCTACAACCGTTGAAAATTCTGGTTTCCTTGGCCCTTTATTCCTCGACTTCTCTTCTAATTTTTCTCAGAGGTAGCCTGCCTTGGGTAGGCCACCTGTCCATATTTTCAAGAGATCCCTCTTAAAATTCAAGTATCTGTGGACAGGGGGGGATCTCGTGGAGTTCTGTGTCTGACGGCGTAGTGGTTCCCGTCGAAGGTGGCAAATGATTCGGCTTTGGGCCGGGGTTCGACTCACGGCGAAAGCATGGAGATGCGCATTGCGCAGTCTGTTCTGCGCATGTCAGATCCACCAATGTGAGCACTTTCATCTCAATTACACCTTAGGCCGTGGGAATTCCCTGGTGCCTGGCACCTTGCTGTGGTGGCGGGTGTACTAATAAGACAGGTGAATCTGGCTTTAAAGGAGCTCCATTACCTGTGCTGGGTCAGTCAAGTCAACAGTCTCACGAACCCCGGGATTATATTCTGACCACTATGGTTCGGCTGATCCCTTTACGAACTCGTCGAAGTCGTCCTGCGGTGGGATGGGGAAAGTACTCCCCCATTTTTATTGTTTTATTTTTGTCCGGGTGAGGGAAGAAGGGCGTGAGCAAGTACGACGCCGAGCGGACTCATTTCCACAGTCGGTTCTGATAAAAGCTGCCAGTGGCCGTGTCGGTTGTAGCTACAACTGTGTCGCTACAAACAGGGACGTGTGTATTGATTGCCTACCCTCCAGGCGCCCTCAGCCACAACTTGCCCAGGTGTTCCCCACGCAGTACGCGCGAGTCGGTGGCCACGTCCCTGTTTGTAGCGACACAGTCGTAGCTACAACCGATATTTCAAAAACACTGACGTACGTACGTGCGTACGTCCGTGCGTACTTACGCGCTG